GTAATATATATATATATATATATATATATATATAAAATAGTCAAATACCATTTAAAATACTTATATTAGATCCATGGTGATATAGAACTCAGTGAATCCGGTCGGTGTTTAGCAAGTGTAACAGTGTCAGAAACTATTAGAAACCGATGTCATGCAATAGACTGACTCGATTGATGACTCGGGTATGCAAAGAGGTTTTTATCCGAGCATACATATTTTTATGGTCTCACAGAAGACTCTTTAAGCTACCGAGTGAAGTCAAGGTTTGGCCCTCAATTAGACTCCAGGTTGTTTGATGAACGAGGTATTGCTTGAAAGAAGAAAGTGATGATGCAGTCATCAAGCAAAGCTCTTCAGGGGTCAAACCTCAGCAAATAGGTTCAGTCACAAATCTAGCGAGCAATCATGCAAAGACACAGAAATCAAAACACCCACAAGTGTCATAAACATTACTGTAATCATACAAGTCATTGGAACAACTATACAAGTGCCTTTAGGACACTAATCAACACACCCCCCCCTACTGATACCAAATTATTCCAGGTGTTCGTTCACCTGAATCATTCATTTGGCTTAGTTGAGAAACTGGCTGCAATCAGTTCCATTTTGGTTGAAGCCAGATATGAGTTCTGGGAAAAGTTTTCCAAGCATGATTTTGAATCCAGTGGAACAAGTTTTGCAGGCAACCCTTCCATGCTTGTAAGCGTGACCAACCTGTGCACCTTCCAAATAAGCCTTGCAGACATTGAGAATATGATGTGACCTTTGTGCAAAATGCTCCTCGACGAGTGCCTCAAAATGCTGCATTTGCAAGAAATCAACGAGGCAGGTAACTTCCAGGCATAAGCATACACTATTTGTTGATGAAATCTACAAGTCGGCAGTACAGTCATGTTGGAGATGTCAGGTTACCTTAGGCAGCTTGCGTAATATGTATAACATTGATTTGCATGACTGTAGGAAACCATTCTAGTGATGGAGTTCCTATCACCCATCAACTTTTCCAATTTCTTCATCAAAGCCAGCCTCATTGAAATATGGCTTCTCATTCAGAACAAGTGCTTGGAGAGAGATCAGGGCTTGAAGCACTGTGGAACTCTCAGGATTCCATACTTCAGTATACCAGTCCCCATCCATGTATTTTGAAGGCTTAATCAAACCTTTCCTGATTCATACAGGTTTGGGTTGAGTCGCAGTCCACCAGATTTATAGTGAACAACCTGCTCAAGAAATTGATGATTACTCATTTACCGCAAAGGGCCCCATCAAAGATTTAGCACAAAAATTTATAATACATAAAATATTCTATGCGCTTAGACCGAATAATGTTCCTCTAATTTTTCCAAATTATATATTTGACTCATTAAACAGTCTTATAAGCAATGTGGAATTTCGAACTAATGCAAGTACCTGATCAATTGTGAATGCTTGAAGTTGAATTTTGCCCATGTATGTTCAATGCAATTTGATCTATGCAATATTTAGGTCATTATTAAGCATAAAAAAGGTAAGGTACTAATAATATAATACTCACAGGTTCTTGAGGATAATCCGGAGGAAAGAAAATATCAAAGAAGAATAGACCATCGTGGTATGGAGTTCCAGGTGATCCAAGAATTGTTGCTCTCATAAGTTCCCTTCTTTCCTCATATACCCTAACATAGATAGCATCTGCAGATGTGCAAATTGGACATGCACATTATGAAACAATGATCAGAATGCATACAAACAGTTATTAATGTCAGACATATATAATCAAAATAGAAAGCAAACTTCTAGTCCATCTCATACTCTATAAACAGTATGTCGAGAAAGGTATGTTATATTGCATTCCTCCCTGGTTATATAATTAAAGCAAATTCAATGAGACATAATGTTAAATTTTGAAGTTCTAAAATATTTGAAGATAATAGGTACATGTACAATTATTTAAAAAAAAAGACAGTATACGAGGAGTGAGAAGTTTCTTCCACAGTATCATCAAGGGCTGATTTTATGAAAGATGATGAGATCCCAATAGAGCAAGCCTAGTATGCAACTGATTCATTAAATAATGAAAAGAATGGACAGACATGCATTATCGACGAAACAGAATATCAAGAATGAAAAGTTAACCTGGTAGATCCCTTTTCAGGAAGCTCCATTCTTGTTGTACTTTCTTGAACCAACCTCTTTTCACCTGAAATGAAACTAAGATAAATCATACAAAATTACTACACTAGTAGGATGGTCAAGTTTGATTTACATCAACCAATTTGTTACCTGAGACAGCATTATACCATCACCAATGCCATTGATAAAATGATGATCTGAGAAGTCATTAACAACATTGAATTGCTTAAATTTTATTGGCTTATCCTCTTCAGGTAAAATGATGGGTTCATCACCCTGTTTAAACTCTCTGGTTTCTCGCCTCAAAATTTCCAGCTGTTCATCATGTAGACCCAACTGAATTGAAGTTCTTTCTTCAAAAGCTGGTACTGAGAGACTTCAAGCTTCTGCCAAAACAAAAAGGATTTTGGGATTCAGAAGACATTTAGGTTTAAGTATTTATGGTCACCAAAGTAACAAAATTTAACTGTGTCACCCAGCAAAGTTGAATCCGGAGAACCAAATAGGTTTCTAGTAACACGTGCTAGAAACCCGAAAGTTGCTTATAGAAACAAAGGAGTAATGGACTTCGACACAGTCGTTGTGCAATCTTCATTGCTGTTGTTTTCAACATTCTAGAAAAAACAAAATCTAAAAAGTTCAGTATAATTCTTTGTGAGAGTTGTGCATTTATTTAGAAATAAAAAGAAACAAAGAAACACACACACAAATGCACATGTATATATGCAAAAAAGGGGTTCAAACCTTTTTTTTCTTATGACTTGATAGTTTCTGCTGATCAGGTGTCTCTTTGATAACATTTGCAGGGAAAGTTTCCTCATTAGATCACGGCATTGAAGCAGGACTTAGAATCATATCCAGTTCAAATATTTCGAAAGGTGGGATCTGACATATATTGTATGTAGAATAATCATTTTGTTTGACTAAAACCATCACATATGCTGACAAGAATAAGAGATGAACCATTAAACGTAAAGACAGTTATGGAGAGACTGTTGATGTCCTGAATAACTATAATGTCGTTTAATGTTTGGAAGTGTTAGTAATTAGTCTCTCACTAACAAAAGCAAATAAAGCATAAAAGCCCTACATCAACTTTATGAAGTCAATAATATATTAGATGTAAGGTCTGAAAAATAAAACCAAAGAAAATACACGAAATGAAGATCTACAACTCAATGGTGAGATTATCTACATCCTAGAGACAGTAAGATGTCATTCTAGAAAATGTTACAGAACACAGCCCTTAAATCTTCCCAATCTTCAATGTATACGAACCTTGCACCACAAACCTCTGTTTCTAGCGTTGAAAAAGAAACTTGGAGTTAAGATTTCAATTCTGTGGCACAACCTTGGGTCACTAATATGCCAATGGCACATGTCAACTGAGAAAGATTAATGTGGGCAGTGTCAGGCAACACAGGCCTGCCCCAGGCTTGCCCTATGTTGGCAGGCCTCCATGTCTATGTCATGTTGGTGTATGATCAACACATGCAACCTCGCATGATAGTCACTCTCATTAAAGTGGGAGGAAGAAAACGGAACAAAGGAGAAAGTATACTAGGGTTGATAACTTTAACAAACTTCACTCTTCGCTGTCACATGCAACCTCGCATGCTAGTCACTCTCATTAAAGTGGGAGGAGAAAAATGGAACAAAGGAGAAAGTATGCTAGGGTTGATAATTTGTACAAACTTCACTCTTCGCTGTACCAAATTTGACTTTGCAACATATAGTAATCTGGTGAGCAAGACACAATCATACTAAAGCGACACTCTGAGTTCCAACTAAAAGAAGCTGGTATGACTTTGAAATAGTTAGTGCCCAAAAACAGATGAGATAAGTGGATTACAGAGCGAGAAATAAGGTTGGGCAGCATGTAGGTAGATTACGTACCTTGGAGACATGACCACTAGGCCATCTCACCTCAACACATTTATCCTTGTAGCCAATAACATTACCTATACATGACAAATAATGTTGAAAATCGTCACTATCCCTTCCACCAATGAGTTCTCCAATAGCATCTTCTCCAAAAAGAGTTGTTTCCTGGAGTAGGTAGATTACGCCTAGGGTCTTGGTCATTACTTTGCATATCAGGAAGATTTACTTCCACATTCTTGGTAGGTGATATATATCTAAGCACAATATCACCAACACAATAGGAGAAACTTGGATGCTCTATCAGTTCAAAAACACTAACTGTCTCCTCGATGGATTCACAAGAAAAATCAAGTTTCTTTAATATTAGGAACTGTCCATTTTACTTTTAACTGTCCGCTCATATGGATCCACATTTTTCATGATACCATGCCTTTGGATCCTTGGAGCACATACATCTTCTCATGTCACCTTCTCCAAGACAAACTGTTCGGGCCAAAAATCATGATCACCAACATCACTCACAGGAGACAAACTTTGTGGATCTAAGCCAAATGACCTTTCACTATTTTGCCACAAGACATCAACCTTGCTCTTGGTTTTTGTGATCATATACATCTCTTGACTTCTCATTCCTGAATCCTTCTGCATTTCGGTAGAACAGATGGGTGCTATTTGCAGAGGCAGTTTATTTTCAGCAGTTTTATGCAGATCATCCAAGAAATCAGCTAAAAGTTTACACCAATCACCTATTTGCCAATTAGTATATGAAAAATATGACAACAAAGCAAGGCCCTTTGGAGATTGGAAATGAGGAGGAGGTGATGAAAGGATGCCCTGTCCAATAATCACAGAAGATATCCAACTAACATATACAAACCCTACTTCAACATGGATGATAGTACCTTCATCTCGATTTCCCTTCCTTATTCCACAAAACCATGATGCAAATCCAGAAACATGTTGACGATTGACCTTGACACATTGTCCTGGATAATACTGAAACAGTGTATCTTCATATCTTGGAGAAACAGGAACCAAAATTTCAGAATCCCTGACCAATATTTCATACTCTTCCCCATCATCAACGAGAACATTAACCACATCAGAGACCCTGTCCACCCTTCCAAGCCACAGGCCATGAACTACATAGCCACAGGATGCAAAGGATTTGAATCTAGTGAGTTTCTTGCTGTCTCTGTCAGTTAATTACCCCACCAGAAACTCTCTCCAGTTCTACAACCATAACAACATCCATAACCTGACCTAACTGGCCTGAGGGATCTGTCATCAATTTTTCCAATGCTCTCATCAAGACTTGACAGGATGTTCTGAGCATGTCCACCATATGTAGATTCACTGCCATCTATGTCTTCGCCATCACTGATTTCACTGAAGATCTCACTGTCTGAGTCAATAACAGGTACATCCATTGTTTTAGATACCTGTGGCAAGTTATTTTGATAGATTTTAGCATCAAAATCATTTCTGAGCCAGAAAGCAAAAGTCGAGGAAAGCTAATCATCCCACCCTCTTTAATCAACGAGGGATGCAATCTCTTGCAACCTAGTAAGACACTACTTTAAAGACACAGCCAATCTTTGGGTAACAAGACAATCCTGTCCCACACATGTATGATAAACACTTCCTAGCATGAAACGTATGTTGAACATTAAAGGAATGACACCATGGGGAGCAAACTTTAATCTTGTTAAAGCCTCATAATCTAGTAGCATGTTACCAATAATTTCTAAGAAAAGTTTTTTAATGTGCTAGGAACTGCCAAAGAAGATTTGCTCAGCAGAAAGAAGCAGTTTCGATGATACCCAGTAGCCTGCATATGAGAAGAAGAAAAGACTAAACTTCAAGGATAGCAATATCATTCAGAATTGAGCAAAATGGCCTTTCTTCAACGAAAACAGCATGAGTGTTACCCCCAGTTCAGAAACTATCAGTCGAACCAACTAAATTCTAAATCATCTATAATAAGCTCTCTTTTCTCTTTTGTGACAAAACAAAGGTAATAATTAGCAGAAAACCAGCAGAACTAAAAAAAGGAAATGAATTTCTTTTTACCCAAACACAAGGACACATCACTGCCCTATCGGAAGCATGAATTCGGCATGAATCTCGAATTCCCCACACAAACATGCTGATCTATCCCGGAAAGGGGAAAAAAAATCCATCTTTTATCCATAAAACTTCAAACAGGCGAAACGGGAACAGATACGAACCTTAAATTCTCCACAGAAACAAAGCCAATCCCAAGAAGACGATTCTCTTCGGAAATCCCATAAGAAAACAGCGGCAACATCTCCAGAAGGAAGAGAACCCAAAAGCCATCACCTCCCCAAACGGATCAAGAACATCAAATGCATAAAAAAAAAAAATCCAAGCCAGGTAACATACTACAGCACCTCAAATCCCATCCCCAGAAGTGCCAGAGGAAGAGGAGGAGCCAAGAAGAGAACTTTTCGGTTCCTTCCGATGACGCGGGCCGATCCCTCGCCGAACGCCACCTAAGCCTATTCTGCATCATTTGTTACGAGATTCACAGGTTCCCGACATGTTCGGTGCCTTCCTCCGAAAGCCATGTCAAGATTTGAAGTGCCATGTTGGTTTCTGCAGCCTCATAAACAGTGCCTCCAAACCCATCACACTTATAATTTTATCATCCCAAGGGGTTCCAAAGCAAAACAAAGACATAATAAGCTCATTCCTTGTTGCTTGGGCCAGACGATCCACATAGCGATCGACACACCTCGCAGCTACCAGTCGCCCTCTGCATCGTTGACAAAGTAGCCAACACCTGCATTACATAATTCACCATCAAATGATCCATCACGCTCTACACCGAACCTATAAACACTCACAGTCGAAACAGTCTATCAGTGGTAGCACTATCAACATTGAGAATAGTCATCTAAACCTATATTTCTTTTGAAACCACACCACACCACACTGGATGTTATTCATGAGCTGCACAAGAATAAATAGGTTACTAAGATTATGCTGCACAAGAACAATCGAGTATGGGGATATAGAATCCCCTTACCTAATGCCACATTGACTCCTAAACCAATTATATTCAACTCTATTAATCAAGCAAGAAAAAGTCAAAGAAACAATATTAAAAAAATTAATATTGATAAGAGTGTTGACCGACCAATCTATTCTATCATAAGCTTTAGATATATCCACAGGGCCAAACATTCTACTATGAGAATTGGATATGATATGTGCCACTTCATCATCATAAATATTTCTATTAGACATAAATGAATGATGCATCAAATCATCGAGGAAAGGTTTCAACCTATTGGCTAAGATTAAATATCCTGCAATATTATGCAATCAAAGTTAGAACTCCAAACTCTACGAGTAACGACGAAATAGAAAATTGAAGGCTGCTTGGAGCATTGAGATTCATGAGCTCCACCAGTTCCAGAAGTCAAATGGGCACCTATTCATGTAGTTCATCTTCTGAAACTTGTGCCCACTAGTTTATGAGGTGAATAGGTTACAGGATTATCAAACTAATGCAATCAAGCTAGCATTCTTCCGGACCAGCAGCTACTTTGTGCTTGCCAATTCCACTGGTTAGGTTGACAAAGTGAATGCTAATTAAGTTTCTGCTGTTGCAGAATTATAAAGTATCTCCACAGGAAGCAACCTATTCACATCTCTAAGTCTTCCTCTAACATATCCAAGTCTTCCTCTAACAACAATAACACATCTAAGCAGAAGCACACAAAAAGCATTCTGGTTTGCATTCTTCTCTCCACCATCAATCTGTCTTCCTCTAACAACAATAACACGTCTAAGCTGAAGCACACAAAAAGCATTCTGGTTTGCATTCTTCTCTCCACCATCAATCCTTCTCTTTCTTAAATCTCTCCTTCAATCATGTCACCCCTCCTAAACTGTGATTATTTCTTGATAATCTCTTAATCATCATGTATAGTTTTATGCACCTGCTATCTTTTATTTCTTTCATTTGATTGCCAACTAAGAATCTCTGTTTTCTTCTTATTAGAATAACAATTTAATAGTCATGCATATGGTTTGATTCCTTCCTTTTCTTTAGTCTTCGATGACAACAATTTAATAGCCACTACTGATCTCATTCCCACCAAATCCAATACAAAAATGAGGGAAGAGGCCAAAAATCTTCCTACACAACACAACATAGGAAAGACCAACATGCTCCCCACACATCCTTATTCTCATGCTATGCCTCTCCTTCTTTCCTTGGATCTCCTGTTCCTCCTGGTATCTGTCCCGGCCGCCTTCGTCGCCGCACAGCCGTCGGATGCCAACACATGGTCGCAGCCGGACGTCACCATCTCCTTCCGGCCCGGGGTGGCGGTGGTTATCGGCATCTTCGCCATCATGTTCTCGGTCACCTTCCTCCTGCTTGTATATGCCAAGTTTTGCCGCTCTGCGGCCTCGGAGTTCTTCGGCACGGCGTCCGCCGGCCATGGCGAGTTCCTCCTCCCTCAGCATCGGTTCTCCGGCATAGACAAGGCCGCCGTCGAGTCGCTTCCCTTATTCCGGTTCTCGATGCTGCGCGGAGCCCGGGACGGCCTCGAGTGCGCCGTCTGCCTGTCGAGGTTCGGAGACGCGGACGTCCTCCGCCTGCTGCCGCGGTGCAAACACGCGTTCCATGTCGACTGCGTTGACCGCTGGTTCGAGGCTCACTCCACGTGCCCGCTGTGCCGATGCAAGGTCGACGCGGAGGACGCCGAGCTCTTCAAGTGCTCCACCAGCTCCCGCTTCCTGTTCTCCTCCGACCGCCATGAGGACGGCCTCCCCGACCTCGAGCTGTTCATGGAGAGACAACGCTTCGACGACGGCGACCACCGCTGCTCATCAAGATTCAGCATAGGAAGCAGCTTCAGGAAGATCAGCAGGAGCACCAAGGAGAAGGAAGATCTCAGGACGCTGGAAGAAGGCACCAACGATGCTCAACCCCTCCACAGATTCAAGCACAAGATCATAGTCTCCGACGTCATGTTCAAGCGCCGGTGGAGCGACGTGAACGCGTCGGATTTGCTGTCGCTGAGTGCCGACATGTTGGACATGGTGTCCAGCAAAAGATTCTCCGATCCGGACGCCAACATGGAGCCTTTTGGAGATGCAATAGCTGGAGAGAGCGCAGAAGGGAAGATCGCAACGAATGAGAAGATTCTGAAGATTAAGAAGGAGATGGAGAAGAAGAGATTGCTCGAGAACAAAGCCAGACGAATCAACAGCAGCAACTCAGTTGCCATGCCGAGCAATACTTGTGCTAACTCGAGAGATGTGCTCTCATCAGGGGAAAGATCGATGTCGGAGATCACTAACCTCCCCAGATTCAGGATGATAAGGGATGCAGGAAGCAGTGGCTGCGCAGGGGCGAAAGATGAGAAGCTGAGGAGGATTTGGCTGCCGATTGCGAGGCGGACAGTGCAGTGGTTTGCCGGCAGAGAGAGGAGATCACAGACACAGTACAGTAGGACAAAGGAAGTTGCAAATGTGTGATGCAGCAATTGTTTGATCTGGTAATGGATATAATCCTAATCACAAATGCACAGTTAGGCTGAGTTCTTCTTTGTATGGTTTGTCTGATTTATGATTTCTTTCTTTTGGTTTCTTTTCAATGATCGAAATGGTTTTGTATCATCACAGAAACTCTGATTTGTAAGCTTGAAACTGAGACTTAAAATCATAAGATTTACAAGTTCAAAAAAACAATGAGCTAATAATTCTTGTGTTTTTGTTGAGAATAATAACCATATCATTATTCTGTTCTGCAATACTGGTCTTGTCTTAGGACACCGAACACACCAAGGTAAAGAATTGGCCCCTACATAGGCCTTCACAGTGAGAGATCAAACTGCATTTAGGATGGGGCTACAATTAGGAAGCAGTAAGAAAGGTCCATGTGTGTAATTTGCAGAAGGAGAAGTAATATCCACATCAGAAGCTTGGGAATTGTTTGGAATAAATAGTCAAGGATCAGTATCAGGAGATCCAAATAGGACAAGTAAGTTCCCAAAGGCTAAAAGAAAGCAGAGGCGAGAGGGAGAATGAGGATGATGGGTATCGTCGACATGAGACGAGACTGTAAAAGGCTTTCGTTACCTAAGTGCCAGCGCACCCCACTGCAACGGGTATGGGATCTTTATCCTACAAGCGCTCCCACATGTTAATGCATGTAGGTGCAAGCAAGACATCAGAGAGGAAGAAAGAGGTACCACCAGGGAGCAGAGGAGATCACTCGGGGCGATGCCGGTTTGCGCCGCTTGCAGTGAGCAAGTGGGCGTAAGCCCATACATACGATAAGGATCGAGAAGAGCGAGAAAACCCTCTCTAATGCGGGCCATCCTCTTAACTTGTAGATGCTTCATATACTGCTACCAAGTTTTGTTGGATTAGAAAGAGAATTGGAGGGAGAAAAAGATTGGGAGATCGTTTGTTGTTCATTTGTACATGTGATAATGCAATGAACAAAATGAGCATCGGAACACCAACCTCCACACATTGATTGCAATGTTTCTTGTTGATAGAACAATTCATTATTGTCTCTACTATCCACTCATTTAAAGATATTTCGGGAGCATTTTAAGATCATTAACGACCTATGAAATTTGGTATTTGACGAAGACAAAGAAGAATACGAAGGATATTACACGTACAACCAAAGAAGTTCATAGCTTAAGTGATGATGACATAACATTCTTTACAAAAATAAATTAAAAAATTCATTAAAAAAACAAAACAAAATTTTTAAGATAAGAATCTTAAAATAAAATTGAACTTAAAAAAGATATAATTATTTGTTATGAATGTAAAAGGCTATGGCATTTCAAAATTGAGTATCTACCATTGAAGAAGAAGTTGTTAGCAAAAAAAAAAAAAAAAACACTCAAAGTAACTTGTGATGAATTAATTAAGTGCATCAGAAAAGTAAATTAACGAAGACGAAGTAACAAACTACGCATTGATGGCTTTCAGCGATGAGGTATGTGATTCAACGGAAATTTCTTTATCTTATAATGAATTGCTTGTTGCATTTTATGACTTATATGATGAACTCAAAACGATGGTAAGAAATATAAATTGCTAAAAAAGATCATGCATCTCTCTCTCATGAACTTGATAAATTGAAAATTAAGTATGACAATTACTTATTAACATCTTGTACTAAATGTAAAGAGTTAGATTCATTCAAAAAGGAACATATATTGTTACAACAAACATTAAAAAATTTTAAAATTAGAAATAAATCATTAAATATGATTCTTGCTAACAAAAGTTATGCACATAAAAAAGAAAGAATCGGCTTTGTGAGTAGTAACACTCAATAAAAGCCAACTTCATTTGTAAAAGGATCCACATTATATGTTTCTCCTAAAATTAAGTGTATTTTTTATGGAAGATATGCTTATTATGCTTATACATGTTCATTTAAAAAATATAACTCTCGTAAATTAGTTTAGGTTCCTAAAGGAATCATAAATTATTTAATGTAAAAAATCAAGAAAGATAGATCTAATGAAGGACCCAAAGTTAAATGGGTACATAAAGCAACTCTTTTCTTGTAGGTATGTCTTCAATCGAAAGCTAGGGCAAAAAATGATATCTTGACAATAGATGCTCAAGGCACAAGACCGGAGATCCAACACATTTATCAAAGTTCATTAGCCAAGATGAAGAGTATGTCAAAGACAACAACAAAGGAAAAATTATCGATAAAAGAAAAATAGGCAACAAATCAAATCTTTTGATTAAAAATATTTTGTTAGTTGATTGCTTAAAACATAACTTACTAAACATTAGTCAATTGTGTGATAAGAAATATAATATTAAATTTGAATCTAATGCTTGCATTATAGAGATACTATATAAAAATA